TTTAGAGTTTTCCAGGTAAATACTCCAAAGCATACTTTTTACCACTAGCAGATGGAAAATATTGTATCCATTTCCTAGCTAAGGCAATTTGGACAAAAAGAAATGAAGACACATCACACTAAGCCAAGTGAATGAATGACAACACTGCAGCTAACCTAGTCAGACAGAACGTTGAATGAGAATCAAGTTCAATATTTATATACTCGGGGGGAAGAGTTTTGTTTCAGAAAAATATTTTCTAGTTTCTGTTCCATCACATTAAGAACACTGACAAACCACCACTAAAACAAACTGGACTCAAATTCAACACAATGGCATGTGCTTTTCAACCTGTAATCAACACCAAGAAATAGCTCCTTTTGGATATTAAAATCCTGGAAAGAAATCATAAATACTCCATCTGGGAATACGGCCTTTAAAACATGAGTACTTTAGAGAGAACAGTCGATTTCTAATCCCACTTCTCCTATTGATTTTCAAATTTCTTGAATAGAAAAAAGTAAATAAATAAAAGCTTTCATAAATGGGAGATTTCAGTCAGGTTTGTTTAAATCAAGTTATTTGAATTTAAGTATGCACTAATAGTCTACATTGAATTTCATTATTTTTAAATTACATTTTATTAAGTGAAGTAGGTTTCAGCTACACAGAATATGAAAAAAAAAATTTTTTTTTCACTTCAAAAGCATACCACTTGGCCCAGCAATTCCACTCCTAGGCATTCACTTAAGAGATATGAAGGCATATCCACACAAAGATTTGTACAAGAATGTAGCAGCTTTATTTACAATAGCTAAAACTGGAAATAACCCAAATATCCATCAACAGAATAAGTGATAAACCAAACCTAGGTAATTCATAAAATGGAATACTGTTCAGCAGTAAAAAGGAATAAACTATTGAAAATGCAACATGGATAAAACCTATGGAAATTAGACTGAGCTAAAGAAGTTGGACACAAAAGAGTACATGCTGTATGATTCTATTTTATGAAGTTCTAGAAAGTGCAAAATTAATATATGATGAAAACAATCAGAACAGCAGTTGTCTCTGCGTAAGAGAGGGATTGGAATGGGACATGAGGGAATTTTCTAGGGTGGTGTAAATGTTCTGTATCTTGATGGGGTGATGCTTACACAGGTATATCCATTTGTCATTAAGTTAAGGGATGCACATCTCAATATATGTACACTTTACCTCAAAAAAGAAAAGTCCTGAATAGTGGAAACGGATGGAGGTATGGGTGAAACAATTAAAGCAGAATTTTATCATTGGTAAAGCTGGGTGATGGGTATGGGCTTTTATTATACTATTCTATTTACTTTCTGTCTATTTGACATATTCCAAACTAAAAGGTTAAAAATCTATGTCGGTGAAATATACAATAAGAAATTCTTATCATAAAAATATACCTCTCAAGAAGCTTTCTCTGTATGCAGAAAATATTTATAAAAATCCATGGAGATCCCCTGTGTCTGTGCTTCACATGGAGAATTTGAAATGGAGCTCATTATTTTTTCCAGCTCCTCTCGCCCCCACTCCAGCATGCCTCCCTTCTAATGGGCCATCACAGTGAATATGATATGGTTGTCTCAGCTACCATAGCCCCCAAATTTTTATTCCCTGGCCCCTCAAATATTTATTTCTAACAAATACTGGTGCAGATGGAGAAATCAGAGCTGCTGCAAACACCAGAAAAAACAACTGATTTGACCCATCTCAACCTTAGTCTTGATTCTCACGACTCTCTGAAGACGGTGTGTTTTATAAATTAATGAGAAAATAAAAATTTACTGTTCTTAAATTCTGATTTTTTAAATCTCACATTCAACTTTTTTAAACCTCATTTTCTTACTTCTCAGCAATACAAAGAGACATAAATTTTCAGAATAACAAAATCGAGAGAATACTAGCCAAGGTCAATGGTCCATTTCTCTACTATGGACTGATATGTTCAGTCACATACCAGTCACTAAATGTGTTTTCTTAGTTTTCTAGATTTTCCCTGAGGAAAGTCCTATAGTTTTTCACATAACATGTCCAAAGAATCAGAAGCACCACACAGAGGAAAGAATGAACTCACGCTCAATCAGCTATTTAAAGATACGTTAATACCCTCCTAGGTCATAAGAGGATTATAAGTACACTCGGGTAAAGAATCTTCTTGACAGACCCTCATAAGTGGACTCAAGCATTGATATCAATTAGTCCTCTACAGTCAGCATAAGATAAACACCAAAATTAGCTAAAATACAAGATCCAAAATTTATATACTTTATAACCTCTACTTACAGATACTTCTACCTAAAATTTCTTTATTTTTATACATCCCCTGCTAAATTCCAACGAAGAATTTCATATGTTAAATAGCAAATACTCAGAAGGTGAAAGTGATCCTTGATGCCAGCATTTTCGTTTCTTCCTTCCTTCCTTCATTCATTCAACAAACCTACGCATACCAGGAGCTCTTCTAGGTACTAGAAATATATACAGTCATTTAATACAATAGGGAACAAAACAACGTTCACGCCCTCACAGAGCTTACGTTCTAGTAAGGGGAGACAGGCTTACAAGAGGGGCTGAGGATAAGTGTCGTGGAGGGGAATCAGTACGAAACGGCACGCTGATTACTATTTCATAAAGCCGGTCGGGAAAGCTTCCCAGGTATAGTGACATTTGAGCAAACCTGAAGAATGTGAAGTTCCAGAATTCCAGAGAGAAATTCCGGGTAGAGAAAACGGCAAGTGCAAAGGCCCCATGCCAGAGGCCCCTTGCAAACTGAAGAAACTGAGAGCCAGCGTAGCTGGAGTGGAGTGAGTTAAGGGCAGAGCTGTGGGCGATGGGAGGGGGGGGTGCATACAGGGGCTCTAGGCCTTTGTAGGCCATTTTCAGGATCTGGGCATCTAATGTGAGAGATGGGAATCCATTGGAGCACTGTGAGCAGAAATGATCCCATTTAATGTTTTTAAAAACATCACTAGCTGTGTGAGAACAGACAGTAGAGGAACAAAGGTTGAAGCAGGAAGACCAGTTCACCCTAGAGATCACAACGCGCTCAGAGGACTATTTTAACTTTGTTTGTTTATGGGTTGTGTTTCGTGACCCGACTCCATATTCCGATAACTAAAACAGCAATCAACTAAATTGTTCCCTTTCCTGCCACTGGCTTGAGGAGCTAGAGTTTCCGAGGCAAAAACAAGAGGCATCATATGTTACTTTTCAGGGTCTAGTCGGATTTAGGAGACAGGGCCTCCTTTCTCTTGATTACTCTAATAGGTAAATAAGACAAAAACTGCTAGTTTCCTAAACCATCATCCTTTTCAAAAATATTCCCTCACAAATATCAAAAAACAGATATTTTAATGTGCACACTAGATACAAAAGATTTCATCTTATTGCAGTTATTCATAATCCTCATCACAACATATCTATATCACAGTAGTCAAAAGCCATTTCACTAATATTCCTAAAAGATAAATCGAAATAAAAATATACTGCAAACCATAAAATCCACCAATCCTCTCTCAGACTTCTGTTTCATAACTTACGAAATCCTTCTCATAATGAAGACAGACTCTCAAACACTCTCCTATCTCTAATTTCCTTAAGGTTAGCAAACAGCATGTCTAACAGCAGCCTCACCCTAACCGTGTTGTTAGCACTTTCAGTTATAAAAACCCAGGCAGGAAAACCACCATACACTCCACACCTTTCAGGACTTGTAGCCACACTTGAGTGTTATTAATGGTTTAAGAGAGTGTCAGAAACACATGCTATCCCGCACACTTTGGTGATTTCATCCTCTGCTCAGAGCACTCTGATAAATTAAATCACCCTGGCTGTGTCACGAATCGCAGCTGGCATGCCTGAGTATTGCTCTTTGATGACGAACAAGCAGTACAAAATAAGACGCTGATTCCACTCTTTAAAATCTCATTTTCAGCATCTTGTATAATGTTACTAGGCAGGATTTTAAATGCAAATGTTATAATATAATTCACTTTGGTTTTTGCAGAAACCTAAGCCCACTTGCCAAAAAATGGATGGCTTTTTTTCTTTCCAAATAGCAGGCAGCATCTACGCTGGGGAAGGGACTGGGGTGGGGGGTGGGGAGAGGCTATTAAAATGCATAATCCAGCTTTTTGCTTACCGGGAGAGCTTTAATGGGGGGGAACAAGGCAGGAAATTAGGGACTGTCACAGCCACATATACTACAGCGTATTTCCTCACCCTCACTGAATAGTGTCAAGAATCTGCCTCATTAAGTTCTGCTAACAAGTGAGATTCCCCTCTCCGGGGGCAGGCTTCGCTGTACTAACATCTCTACCGACTTTATCTGCCCCCCTCTTCTTTTAGCTTTCCTTCAATTACAAACTCCTATTTCATTTTGTTTTGTTACATCTTATTATTATACTGAAGGCATTCTTGCAAATTGCCTTAAACCCTTCCCAGGAGAAGAAGAGATAGAAACAGATAATAAAATAAATCAAGATTTCTTCCTCCGGGTCTAAATTTAAATACAGAAGGCTGGGTGAAAAGGGACGTGTGGGTGTCTATGGCAAGATTTTCAGTCTCTAGGAGAGAAAAGGATAAAGAACAGAATACTAAAGGGATTTGAGAATGTGTGTGTGTTTAGTTATTCGTGTGTGTGTGTGTGTGTGTACAGTCATTCCCAGGGCAGAGGGAAGAATTCAGGAAGAAGGGAGGGAAGAGAAAAAGATCAATGGAGGCAGTCACTCACCCCTACCCCTCCCGACCCCTCCCCACTCTACTGCAGAGCTCTGCGCTTCCCAGAAAGCTCATCATCCAAAGGGCATATTCCCGAAACCAAAGCATAGCCCGAGTCCTGGGCAGGCAGTCTGGGGAGATCGCGGAGATGGGGATGGGTAAGGGACAGGCGATGGGAAGCGATCGGGCTAGGGAAGGGGCGAGGAAGCCAGCGACGCCAGATGAGATCTCCGGCGGAGATGGAAAGGCAGGGCCGGGCCGCCGCGACCTACCTGGAACAGTGACGGTGGAGGATGCCCCAGGCACCTCTGGCCTCTCCTCCTCAGCCTCCTCCCGCTGCCGTTGCTGCTGCTGCTGCTGCTGCTGGATGAGGCTGAGATCCGAGCGGCTGAGCTCGGCTCTGGCGGCCGCGGGGACCAGTGGTGCCTTCAGCAGCACCGCGGCCAGGCCGAAGAGCAGGGTGCAAGGGACGCGCCGGCTGAGCCTCGCCATGGCCGAGAGCCAGAGGGCCGCGGCGGCATATTGCGGGGCCCCGGGCGGCGGCGGGCGCCAGGGCTGCGGGCTCCGGCAGCGCCCGCTCGCACGCTCCCCGCGCGCCGCCTGCCTCGCACACCCTCACCGAGAGCAGGATGAGGCCCGGGAGGCCGAGGAGAAGCAGGAGGAGGAGGCGGGGGAAGGTAGCATCCTCGAGCACGTGATGCGCGGGGCGGGGCGAGCCGGGCGCCCGGGGCCCGGGCTCCGCTGTCTCCCGCAGCCGGGCTGCTCCGAGGGCACGCGGCCGGCGCGGTGCTGGGGCGCGGTGCCGGGCGGAAGCCACCAAACGTAAACGAGAAAGGAGAGCCCTTCCGGGAGCTGGTAGACTTTCAGATCCTCCAGCCCCTACCGAGGCTCCGGGAAATTTTGCAGAAAGTGGAATAAAATTCCCCCCACCTAACCCTAAAGTAGAGGAGAAGGTGGTACATTGATTACCTTCCTACAACACTTAACTCAGCATCAGCAGATCAAAAAGCCGGAGTCTCTTAACCACATAGGCTTTGCTTATCAAGGCCATCTTTGGTTAGCTAGAAATTAAACTATTGCTCTCCAGATTTTGACTAAACTTCCTTTTTCTGCCCAAGCGGGAATGTCTTTCTGTATCGTTGTGTCCTTAAGTACGTTTTGTCTAATTGTAGCGTATATTTTTCATTTGTTCAAAATATTGTACTAAATATTGTACTAATGTAATATTGTACGACATATTGTACTAAATGGGTACTAGGTGCTTACAATGTGCTGGCATTTAGTCAAGTGTTTGGAACAAGCGAAGATAGAACCCCTGCGTTCTAGGAGCTCACTTCCTGTTAGGGCAGAGGAACACATAAACATTATCATCCAGGGTGGTGGTTGCCACAGGAGAAACACTACAACATGTAGAGGTTGCAATGAATTGGAAGAAATTAACTATGCGGTATATGGAAGGGGCTGTGAAATACTCCACCGGGGAGGTGGAGTTTAAAGAATAATAATATTTCCACACATAAATGGGAGCAATCAGGTCATGTAAAAAGTAGAGCAGCGTGTGTGTGTGCGCGCACGCGCGCACGCACCCAAAGCCCAGAGGGGTTTAATAACACAGTGTGCTTGGAAAACTGTGAGCAATGATTGTGACAGAGTGACAGTGTTTTAGATTGAAAGGAGACCGGAGATCAGGTCATTTTCTAAGTAAGAGCAAACACTTCTGTAGTACTTAACTGTGTGCCAGGCACTGCTCAAGCACTTTATATATGTTAACTCCTGTAATAACTTTGGATGCTATATAAGGAAATTGAAATTTACTCTGCAAGTGATTATGAAGTAGTGAAAGAAATTAATCGGGGAAGAGACTCACCACCAGTCTGCATTTTACAAGGATCACTTTGCTATCAGTATAGAAGATTGATTACACAGGATAGATTGGAGAAGAGGAGGTCAGTGTAGAGGTGTTTGCAAAAGCCCACGAGGAGATGGGCAAGGCTTGTGAGACTGGAAAAGAGAGGAAAGGAGTGAGATATTCAATATTTAGGGCTGGAATCAACAGAAATGATTGGTTGTTTGGGTGGGGAAAGGAGCCTCTTTTAGGCTCTATAATTTGTCCTACGATACACCTGAGAAAACTAAGGCCTGAATGTTGTGTAAATCACATGCATGGCTGAGTGGTGGATACCAGAGCCGTCTGACTCCAAGGCCCTCCTCCATTAACCAATAGCTCTGCCTCATAAAATTGATTTATTGATTCAACCAAGTAATCAATCAGTGTTAGGCATTGTGGTCAGACCTGGAGACTCATACTATAACATACTTACACCAAAAGAAATATATTATATATATATTACACACACAAACATATTAGTTGATCCTCATTATTCACAACTCCATGTTTCTGAATTTGCCTATTTGCTAAAATGTATTTGTAACCCCCAAATCAGTACTTTCATGGTTGTTCCTGGAAATGTGCAAAGCAGTGAAAAATTTGAGTTGCCTGACATACATATCCCCAGCTGAGTTCACACAAGGTGAAGCTCTTCCTTCTTTCAGCTCTCACACTACATACAAGTGTCCTTTTTGTGGTCTATTTAGTGCCAGTGTTTTTTTTCAGTTTTGTACTTTCCGTTCGAGATTTTGTTGTTTAAAATGGCCCCCAACTATAGTGCTGAAGAGCTGTCACTGTTCCTAAGCCCGAGAAGGCTGTGCTGTGCCTGACAGAGAACATACATGTGTTAGGTAAGCTTCTTCCAGGCATGAGCTCTAGTGCTGTTGGCTGTGAGCTCAGTGTTAATGCACCAACAATATATAATAAATAAGGTGTCGGGCCGGCCCCGTGGCTTAGCGGTTAAGTGCGCGCGCTCTGATGCTGGCGGCCCGGGTTCGGAGCGCCCCGAGGCACCA